CAACATTGTTTGGATGCTGCGTTTCCATTGGGGTTAGATGCAAGATGTCACCCTCATTGGAATATAAGCTTTGGAGCGTCAGTTCAACACCATTAGGTACATGGGGCGTGAGTACATGGGGCGTGGGTACATGGTTGCATGGGACTCGCGCGGCACTCGCGACAGGGTCGAAAAGACTCGCGTGGCACTCGCGCCAGCCTCACCATGTTTCCTTTAGTGATCTTTTCCACATGAAGGTCATTAATGCACAGCTCTTGAAGAGCAAAGCAAGCAGGGCAGCATGCTGCATCTATGTTTAGGGGGTAATCTTCACCATAGTCCTAACCTTGCGTTCTGATTGGGGTTTGGTCACCAAAACGCTGCAAACTTCGACATCAAACTAGTTGTTTCCTGCACAGGGGCAGTGAATTCTTGATGTATAGCAGTTTTGACAAACATGCTTCCGTAGAGCGTTTACATTGTGTTTTAACATAAACCGGGTGACTTTTCGCGAGCCGGGTGACTTTTGACTAATGCTGCGTTTCCATGCGGCCGGGTGACTTTCTGCAAACCCGGGTGACTAAACCCTAGCGCTAGTAGTCCTTTTGTCTCCGAGCGCTCTGACAACGCCATGTAGGGCCTAACTTCGTGTGAACGCCGTGACTACTGCTACTGCTACCACTACTACTACTACTACTCCTCCTCCTGCTGCTGCTGCTGCTACTACTGCTACTGCTACTGCTACTGCTACTGCTACTGCTACTACCCCAACCATCCTCAGTGGGCTAGAATATATTTTTTTGATTACCTTTTTATTTTTTATTGATCCCCGTTGAATATTTTTTTGATTCTATTTTTACTTTTATTTTGATCCCTTACCCCTCAAAGTAGGCTTCACAACGAATCATGTTGTTGTGTTTTGCACCAAAGGTGCAATCAGTGGGCCACTGGGGTCCCACTTGAGGCGCATTTGCATGTTGGCCTGCGTTGGCTACATTGTCCCTGAGTACTTCCGTTGGCCTGGCTACCTCTCTCCCGAGAAGGCGCGCACTGCGCACTGCTGCGCTGTCCTGGAAGGTTTGCCATATGAACACGAGTGTGGTAGGTTAGTTTCCCACCTCGAACCACAAAAAGCCTATTCAACCTCATTTTGTGTTCTCCAGCTTTTGGTGGCAAATGGTAGTGGAAAAAGGTTATTTCTATGATCAATTCTGGCAATATGGTTGTTTGTTGTCTTTAAAGCTGGAGTCTAGCCCGGCATGTTGAGCCACCACAGTAAATAAGTATACAGTAATTTCAGAGTAGATGGCACAATCCCTAAATGGTGGTTCATATGGAATCCCATCTTGTCAGGACATAAATGTGGGTGCCAGTGCCATCAAACCTCTGAAACCAGGACCACTAGACTCATTTCGGAGTCTCATGCCTCGAGACGGAAGTCATACTCCCAAGCATTGTCCTTGCTCATCATTTCTGCATGTGTTTCCTCAAAAAAAGAAAACTTGAAGACCATTGAAGTCCCAGCTCCCAGACCACGATTCCTCCTCCCAGGGCATCAAGTTCGCAGACATGCCTCACGGCATCGCGGCCATTGGCAAGGCCAGTGCGAAGACTGCTCGGTGCGACCGGGTTTTTCATCCATCGGTTCGATTTGGGGCGACCCTTGCGGCAGCACACCGGTTGGTTGGCCGGTCTGTTGATCCGTTTCTTTGCCTTGTTTCAATCAGCATGCCGAGAGAGATTCCCCTAGGATCCACCATTATGGCAGGGAGAAGTACCAGGTTTAGGAATGGATATCTTGTGAAGTGCAATGGACATCACTTCAGGATATGTTTCTTGTACTAAACCAAAGGTGGAACTTGCTCAACAAATTTGCCAAGATCAATTGCAGGAGGTGCTCATATTTTGGTGGGTCGTGGAGCCATGGTTTTCATTACTCTTTTGGACTGAGTTGCGGAATGAGCCATGCTTTACAAATCTATATATAACCCAGTATATAATCCCTATCAATCCTTGGTTGTTTGGTTTCCACTATCGGCGTTCATCCGAAGGAAAAACCCATCGACGGCACGAAGCGGTGAGATCCTCCTAGATTCGGGACACCTACCTATATAGAAATCTAAGTACAGTAGTAAGGCACTTGTTTCTAATAGCTTTTTGTTACTACTAGTAAGGCACCTGTTACTAGTAGCGTGGCACTTGTTACTACTAGTAAGGATACATGTCAATGATTTTGATTGCATATACACTATATAACTACACCACCTTACGGGGGGCGGCAGCAGTTTTCCAGATTCAATGACACTGCCAGATCTTCAGGAAGCTTAACAATCTCGCAATCACGGTTACTGAATGCACTTCTGTTTTGTTTTGCTCTTCGGAATATATTTCTTGCTTGAACCTCCAAGGTTGTATGAAACTCGGCCATGTTCCTTGCCGTCGGTCCACGATCTGGGCGATGTAAATCGCACGACAGGTGCCCTTGGAGGGTTGGGTGCAGATCGCTCTCTTCTTGGGCCACTACGAGGGATAGTACCTGTGCTGCACTGCTTGGTCAACCAGGTATAGCTTGATTGTCCAAGGTATTGATTGGTGTTAGTATGGATGAACGCAGATATACAAGTAGGATGAACAAATGTGAGGATGCTACGGATGAGCACGGTTTCAAGTGAGCGATTCTTGGGTCCTTGCTTTCTGGATGAGCACCGTGTTGAACGATATGGGTATGGAGTCATCATGTGTCTTACTCCCTTTTTTTTTGCGGCCATTTCACTGTAGGGGGGTAAGTGGGATTGTCACCAGTAGCTGTCGGGTAATCGCAAAGCAACCATGGAGAACCACTCGTGGGATATCGGAAGATCAAGTTGCAGCAATAATTGCAATGTTTATTTGTTAGTTTTGCGGCACAAGAAATCCTGCGACACCACAAAGCAAGTGAATTTTGCTGCCCACCGACACCCCTTCTACATGTCCCATCTTCCATGTTCACCTGCCTGAATCTGCTACAGTTTCTGGCGACAAGATGCCAAGCGTGCTCCTGGAGACTATGAAGGCGGGAGATGTCACCAGCATTTATGGTCATTCACGGCATGCAAGCATCATCGAAGATGCCTGGATTGTTCAGTGGAAGTCATGTCTCCCATTTGCTAAGAATGTTGCATTGTGTTTTCGTGTATATAATATATGTTCACATATTATGTACATATTATTGTATAATATTTATTATGTGTCTTTGCTTTGTGTCCGTGTGTGTTGCGAGTTGCGAGCTTCGATCGTAAGTCGTAAGCATGGTTTGCTTGCAGCTCTTTTACTGTGGCCTCCACCTCCAAATCCACACAAAATCCACAGGCTTCAGCACGACAAAGACTCAATCACACCTTCCAAACCCCACATAACAAGTCCGACCCATTCATTTTGGTGTTTACTGGTTTCTTTTTTGGATCCTTTGTGTTTAACACAACAAGTGCGTTAATTGGTATGCCTTTTGGGGGAATCCACATCATATAGTGTTGGATGTTTGTTTTGCCTCCAATTCACCTTATTTTCATTGAGGAAATTTATATATCTTACAAAGTGAATTTGCAAAAGGAAGGAACGTAATTAATTGCAATCGAGCTCATCCAAGCGTCAGTCGCCCAAAAGGCAATCCAAAAGGCAATTTTTGTTGTGCCCGACCAACCTCCTGCAAGCTTCACCAAGCTCCACCCGAAAGGCTACGGATTCCTGGGCGTCGGCAAGAACTTCATCTTCAACTTTGAACCCATCATCTTCAAGGCCAAGTCGTCAATTCGAGCAGGGTAGCTGTCACAACTAGGTCCTGAAGCAGGGTAGCTAGCTGTCGAAGAGCGAAACGGGCCCAGCGCACGTTACACCGTTACACCTTGGGACACGTTTGACACATGTGATTCTCATACACGTTTGCACGGGTTGTTGTGGTTGTGGTCAACGGGGGGGCTGGCTAGCAGTAACTGGAATGTTCCCTGAAGCGTAGCTTTAATTAGCGCCAACGGCAAGGAGTGCTCTATAGATTGGATCCAATAAGTTTTTCCTCCTGAGGCTTGGAGGCAGAAGTGGAACTTTGTTAGTCTTCCATTCTTCCTCCCTCTCTAGGATTGCATGGGCATGTAAATTTCATGTCAAAGATGCCAACACCTCATCCCAAGCGCTCCTTCCACTGCAGGATGCGGAGGTGAAACAGACCAAGTTGCGCGCGGAGTTGGCGAACGGACGATTGGCCATGGTGGCTTTGCCACTCGGAGAGCTTGGGAGAGGGTTGAGGGAGGCGAGGGGCCGCTTCTTTGAAGTCTCTATATAATTATGGGGTGGTTGACTCAGTGGTTTCTCCACCCTGCTTTTGGATGCTTTTGGGATTTCAGGAGGATTGGAGAACAGGATGACCTTTTTGAGTGCGCTGCGAGCTGGGCGTATGTTTTTATCCCTCAAGCTTGCAAGCGAAATTGTAGCGCCCTCAATGCTGGTCGGGCAGAGGGGCATGGACAGACCATGTTTGGATATGTTTGGATATCTTTGGCAAATCCCCAAATTGTTTTTCTATTGACGAGCTGGGCCAGCTTTTTCGCGGTTGGACCTCGCTTCTGAGGATGGCGATGCTCTTTCAGCACCTTGGCGAAGCACTTTGGGATTCGTGCTGAACGGCCTTGGCCTTACACTGCGATGAACCATCCACGGCTTCACCCTAGGGACTCAACACACACACACAACTCACTTAGGAGATGCTCGGAGTTTGCTTGCTTCAGTAGCCCCAAGTAGCGTCCTTGCTCCTAGTAGCGGTGCCAGGAGCCATGCAATTTATTTTATCATGTGTCTTTTCACTCATCACCTACCCACATGCTCTTCTTTTTTGTGCCCGGGCCATGAGAAGCCGTCGTGCCGAGACATCCTCATGTCTTTGTATTTGGGCCTTGAAGCTTGCCAAGCTTGCCAAATAAGAGAGAGAGTGAGAGAGAGAGAGGGAGAGAGTGAGACACTGATAGATCCGAGGAACGGCACTGTTGGAACTACTGGTCCTGCCATGTGGCTGCCCAGCGCATGAGCTAGTCCGTGATAGAGTCTTTGCACTGCTCTGGGGTCTTTGTTAATGATCAACCATTGGCAAATCATCATCGCAACTTGGTTGACAAAACAAATAAAGCTTCTTTGTGGGGTTCAGGATTGCCAGCTCCCAGCACTCTTCTGGCTTGTATTCCTTTGAGGCACGGAAGTATTCGTTTGTGTGTCCATACTCTTTGGTTCGATTCCTGGAAAGCATTGAGGGCAAGTGAATGCTCATCGACTTCATTGAGCTTGGGAGAAACCCACTCGACTCCATGTGGATGCCTGTGGGAAGGGTCGAAGGAGAAGTTGTTCAGGTGTTTTTCTCAGGGTTTGGTGGGTTGTGTTCACCTGTTTTTGGGGACACTGTCAAAGCTAGAATACCCAAATCAGGGTTGACTCCACGAGGGATGAGTTCCTGGTTCACCTTCCCTTCTTCCATGGCCACAAGGTTTTCGCATTCGATCTTGTGTGTTTGGTCCCAATGAACGTTTCAATTTGTTATGCGGGGAATAGGCCCTGTTCGGTCAATGCGAACTGGTAGAGCTGGTTGGGCATTCACAACCTTGTGTAGCTCACGATCTTTGAAAAAAACCTCTTATAGGCCCAGCCTGTCCTGGAGAAGCCAGCTCAGTTTACCTCGGAACGAAGACCCCTTGAGCCGTTTTCAATAGCTGATCCAAACACAGCACATTATATTTGCGATTTGGTTAGTTGCCGCATGGGCAGAATGCAAAGTTGCATTTTGCATTTGGCAAACGGCAATCATTTTCGATAGTGTAAAGCAGTCAACCCTGTGCCCATTGCTACACCGAAGGGGCTTGCCCCTCTCACCACGGAAGGACTCACGGAAGGCTAGCTGCCAACATAGAAGACCATAGTTTGTTGATTCAACATGTCATATACATTTTGTGGAAGCAGTGCTAAAGTTGGCCTCATGGTGAGTGGCGGAATTTTGCCCAAGTCTTCAATTAAGTGCGCTTCTCTTAGAGAGGTGAACATGCGCCACCGATAAGACTGATTGATGATTAGCTATTGTTCAGAGGTGGAGTAGTTACAGGAAGTAGCAGTCATTTTCACCCAAACCATGTGAATCTTGGGTTTTTCGAAGCAGGGTGCATCTCCAGCATTGCTCTTTGGCAATTAGCGGGTGATGAAGGATCTGTAGCTTCAACAGACTCGGCCATATCTTGGCTCCAAAAAGGCCCGGGACCTGTGGTGCGGACTCCGGCCAGCTGACCCGGCTCCCCGGTACCCCAGGCTAGTCTGCCGACTAGGTTCCAAATATAGTGGTCCCCCATATAGATAGTGGAACGGTGTCCAATACATTGTTAGTGGGGATCTACTTTTCTATCCATTGGGGGCCGGGGTCTATATATTTATATATACATCATGACTGAGTGTGCAGGGTCACATTCACCCTTAGTGTTGTTGCTTTGGCATCGTTTCCCTCATGTTTCATGAGCTTTCCATATTGAAGCATGCCTGCTGTATAGCGGTGCCGTTGCTGGAGCTCAACTTGAGAGGAGTTTTGGAATTCTGGGCGTTCCTGAAGTCTCCCGGCTTATTTGTTACAGATTGTTGTAGACATGACATTTTGACACTCCAGGCGCTCAGAAACTGTGGTTCTTTCATTTTTTCAGAAGCCCCTCCTTTGGATCGTAGGGGCCATGTGTTTAACTGGAAGACAGTCAGCACCCAGTCTTCACCACCTCCTTGAATGCTGTCGGCCCAAAAATTGGTGTGGTGCCAGGAAGAAGAGACGCTGGATTTGCCTGCTGAAGTGGAGGTCCAACGAGACCCGGAGCATGAGACGCGGAGCATGACGAGACGGGAGAAGCCAACAACGCGGCTGTACACTTTGCGTGGTTTGCGTGGAGAATGATAGCTGCATGGATTCATAAAGACTGGCATCCAAGCCAATATGCTTTGAGCCACTTCAATGCTTGCTGATGACTTCTTGCCGGAGCTGCTCTATGTCACATCAGGGTCCTTAGTGGGTTTGAAGGTTTGATCACAGCCTTGACTTGGAACGTATTCCCTTTCTTGGGGCAAAGGTTGTGATAGCTGATGTTTTCTTCAGCTTGGAGCTGCCAAGGATGTACCCGTTTTGGGCCCTTGAGCAGTTTTTATTAAAACAAAGTACCATTGAAGGTAGACATGGTGCACAATAGGTCTTTTGCTGGTGTGGTCCTTGCTGCTTCAATTTGTTTGCATGGCTGTAAATTTTAAATGCCAATAGGTTGCAGTTAGAGTTATAGATGTTCGTACAGTCAGGGCCAGAGACAGTTATACACAGACTTTGGGGCAAAACAGGGAGTATCTAAACAACAGTCTGGCCATGATGGGAACCACTCAGTCTTGCCTTGTTAGTCTTGCCTTGAGAACCACTCGTTCCACTCCAAAAATCCGTTCGGCTCGTCGGTTGCCCAGGTGGAGCCCTGTTCCCCAGGACTGGATGTGGCCCGGCGATCATGTTAGAGAGAGGATGCACCGTGAAGAACACAAGGAGGTGGCTCAGTTTCGCCTTTTTCGGGCTTCTATCGAGTTCCGATAGCCTAGAGACACCAAAGTGGCCGTGGAAAACCACTTTGCTCTACCAGTTCAAGATGTTCGCTTGACATTTCAGAAGAACCACCCTCAGCACGTTCATCCTGGCAGAGAGTTGGTGAGTCAAGCGTGACACGTTTTGGGGAGATTTGTTTGTTTTTACTTTTCAATGTGTCATGCATGGTCCCTTTTCAGATGATGTATGCATTCAACCAGGGGTCGACCTCAAGTAGTTGTGTTTTCACGTATGAAAAAGTGTTTTATGTTGTTTTTGGCACTCTAAGACTCTACAGTGCCTGGTGCATTCCGAGCAAGTTGTACGCAGTTTCTTTAATGGTGCGAGGTAGGTTCTGTCATGGCTCGACTTTTTGTGAGGTATAATATACAAAGGGTCAAACAGAGTCAGCCGTGACAAGTTGACAAACGGTAGTGAGGAATCTCTCATGAGTGCCTGAATCACCGAATCACCAATTGATTTACGGGCCAACGGTGTTTGTCCATGGAACCAACCCAGGTTTTTTGTGTGCATGTGCATTTAGACCGTGGAATGTCAGTCAGGTGAACAAAGAAAGGTTTGATAGACTAAACCATATTGGACGGTCCGTCTTTGGTTGTACTTCTGCATCCCCGGAAGCTTGCTTCTCTGTTTGTTCGTTGCTCCGAGGTAGAACCTGAAGATGAAGGACAGCTTTCCGCTTCGCTGTTTTTTGCTGGTTGGTTGTTTGTTTATGTTTGTTTTTAGACATTGACATGAGGACATGAGCAAGTAGTACAGTAGAGTTTACCATGAGAGCCATGACGGGAGTTGCCATGACGGGAGTTGCCATTAGAAAGATGGGAATTGCCAGGATGGGATTGCTCCTGAAGGTGTGCCAAAACCGATTAGAGAGATGTTGTTTATACTGTCAACTGTTGAACAGTTTTGCCATGTGCTAGTCTTACAGTTGCGGCAACCAGGTGAACACCTACTATGACTTTTCAAGGTCAGTATGTTTCAAAAGAAAGTCCAGAACCTCCAAGCAGACACGAACCCTTGGATGTACGTGTCACAAGAGGTGGCGGTACCGCTAAGTACGCCTGCACCGGGTCGTGGGTCAAAGAAGGGGCCCTGAGGAACGAAAGTCTCATTAGACCTTGGGAGTGTGGGACCTCGACAAGATCCGGAGTACGACCTTCAAGTCGCCTTCGCTTTTTGTATGTTCAAGTCACCCTCGCTCGGGGTTCTTTGGAGCTACCAGTCATGACTGTCCGCCCTCAGACCTACACTTCTGGTCACAGTTTGCAGGGATCAAACAGTCAGACGTTTGTCAAGTCCACTGTTGTTGCTCAACACAGCTCGGTGTAGTTGTGGCTCGTAGCTCGCAAACTTCTCACAACCAACAAAGATGTTTGAGAGGTGGTTTACAGCTGACAGTACTTGGTGGCTGTAAAATAGAAGGTCTCGTTGGCTCGTGCGTATCACAGCCATGTTTCTCAGTCAGAAACCGATGGACGTCCAATGGGGGTTTGACTCAGGTTTGCATTTTGTGTGGTGATCTCGCTTTTGGCTCAGCTGAAGAGTATTTCGTCACTTGACCGTGAGGGTCAAACGGCGCAGGCGGCGGTTGGTGTGATCCATGCTGGGAGTGTGTGCAAAAATGCATACACGCGAACTGGTCATCCAGTTTGTCAGACAATTCGGATGGCCAGTGTGAATATCGGCTGAGAAACAAGTTCCCATGCTTGGAAGGTTCCAAAGGCTTTGATCCTTCAGAACATGATCATGTGTTTTTTGAAGATCCAAGAATCTAAGGCAAGGTGCTGTGCAGGCCCTCAAAGTTGCAAGATTCGTTCGCGCAACGATATTGGAGACACTGGAGACCCCAAACTGCTGAGCTTCTTTGGGCCAAGAGGTAACTGGGCAGCTGCATGCCACCAATGAGGTAGCCTAGACAGAGCCGACAGAGCCTTCCCTTGACGGCCAGGCATCATGTACACGAGTCACACGAGCCAGCCTGGTGTGACCTATAGCTCGCAAACAAGTCAGCCTGCCGCGTATAGCTCGCAGCCTTACCAGCCGGAAACCTAGCTGCTGATGGCATCAAAGGTGAGTTGGTGGATATTAGTGCTGATGATATTGGTCTCCATCCAAGATGAGTTGGTCACGCATAGGTTGGTGATACCTTTTGCGTGTGGGTCCAACATAGGCAGGACACCTGATGTTCCAAATTTAGAGGCTCCAAGTGGTTCAGCCAAGTGGGTTCAGAAAGGTGCCACAGGGATATGTGAACCGCGGGTTTTAAGGAAGTATGTATGATTGACATCTTCCCTCTTTTGGGCCCTTGGGAAGGGAATCAAGGTGCCGAGTTAGGATGTGATAAGTACATTCAACTCAAAAGGAGTGAGCAAAAACTGTTAGCTAGGAATTTGTCAATAGAGGTACATGCTAATCAAGATGGCACCAGCTTCACCCCGCAGCACCCAGGCTTCCGACGTACTCTGCAGCTGCTTCAGGCCACCTACTCCGCTAGGGTAAACTGGTGCGGGAGAGCGGCAAAAAAGTAAAGCACATAGAGATTCGCAAGTAGACCTGCATATATGCTTGTGACGTCGAGTTTCTTTTTTGTTATCCAACATTGGCTCCCCAACTGGGGACGAGCCCCTGCGAAACCGGTGGGAGCCGGTTGCTTTTCACTCTCCCACCGAAGGATGACTATCTAGTCTGGTGGATTTGAGTCCGGTTTTGAGAGGCCCTAATTTCTCATGAATATATTATATATATATATTATATATATCATATATGCAAAGGACATGGTAACAGGGTACATGGATTCTTGATGTAGAGTAGCCGATTCTTTAAAATGAGTCCTTGAACATGACTCCAATACTCCCAGCTACAACAAAGCACGCAGAAAACACTACTGTGTTTTGCTGGGAGGTCCTGTCAACGCTAGGGAGTGAGTTGAGGGTTGACCCACCGTCATTCAAACATTGGGTTGTCATGGGCTCAACAGGGGGCTGGTTGACTTAACACCACCAAAAGAGTTGTTCGATCGACCTGTTTGGATCTAGATGCTACTATTGTGAGTCAAGTTTGGTTGACAGAGATCTAAAGCAGTCAACTGAGTTGCAACAGGCAAGAGTTCCAGCAGCAACAATTCCCCAGGCGTTTGTTGCTTTGGCCCGACAGCTCGCGCGGAGGATATTCCTATCCCTATCCTGTCCAGGGCACCAATGGGGTGCAGGCGCACGGACGTCCCGATCCGTCGAGGGTCAAGCGCGGCGCTCGAGGAAGACTTTTTTCGGATGATCGCGGCGCATGGGATGCTTTTTTGGGGGGGGGGCGGGTTACTCTTGCGACCTGGCTGAACCTTTGTGAATGAGGCGAATGTCTTGTAGAGACTCCCAGCAAATAAACCGAGATGAGGTCCGATAGTCGGCACCTGCCGCCGCCAGCTAGAGAGGATCTTCTTGGAGTAGCTTTATCGTTTAAACCCTGGCGTTGAAATCTGGTGCGTTCTGACAATCTTTGATACTTTGCTAAAATCCTTTCTTGTGAGAATTATGCCGCTATTCTTGCAAAACGTAGATTCTTGCAAAAGGATACGAACACATCACCCGTAAAGAGAGGAGGCTGATACTGCAGGGACCTAGAATGTCGCCAGCGCCTTCGAACTGGAAGGGTAAGGGCTAGTCAAAACTTGTTAAGGGCTAGGTGGCACGGTCAGTCAGAACCAACTAACCAACCAACTATAATTTTGTTGATTGTTTGCCTTGACAACAAGAATCCACCGATCTTTGTCAATTTGTTCATAATTACTGCTTTTGCATCTCAAAACGACATGTTGGCCATGATGAGCAAGTTGTGATGAGCATGCTGTGTTGCATGGCAAGAGGGTTTGTGAATCGATCATCGTCCACCAGCCCTATGGCTGCTGGATCCTATCCCATGCCTTTTGGCTCAGGGGATGTCTCCGAACGGAAGGCAGGACTGATATCGGCTGAGAATGGGTGAGACCATGTTGAACGACAGGGAACGACGGGGAATGAGTGCAACTGAAAGCTTTGGGGTGTTAAGGTGTTATATAAGTGTAAGATGAAGGAAGAGATCTCAAGAAGTCAGCTGCACATCCCAAACGTGCAGATGGTAATAAGTAATAAGAACATTTTGTACAGTCAGACTTGTGACCGCCAGCATGGGGTTTATCACTTTGGAGGCCCTTTCGGGCATATATATATATATATATACACATTGCAAATCCTTCTGTTGCAGCGCTGGAGTATCCTTTTTGAGTACCAGCACCGGACAATAGAATCGGGGATGCTCCCCTGCAGACCACGATGCTGAGGAAGTTTGTAATTGCTTGCTTTCACCATGGAAAAGCCAGGTGCCTCCTTCCTGATCCCGACACAGTGGAAACCAAGCTTTGCTTCAGGGCTATGCCTTCCCTTCAAGCCGATTTGATTCATGTTGTGACATCGACAACATCCCTGTGATGAATGACCTCAGCTTCGTCTTGATTGCAAAACCAGCTTGGGACTGCGGACATCGAGGAGCGCGCGATCGACATGGGCAGGTTTTTGATGCAGAGTTCTTTCGAGAAGCCCGCGGCCACACCGTCATAAGGATTTATGGGTTGGCTTTCAATTTTGTTTTACTTGCTCGGTATAGACACGTGCCGACCCTGCGCACGCAGCCGCTCGGAATCATGGTTTGGTTCAGCATCGCCTGCAGGTCGCTGCCAGATGACATGTTCCTCTTTGTAAACCCTGGCTCTGGTGGCAACAAGGGTCAGGCCAGCGCGCGAGGTTTGATGTTATCGATTTAGGCTTGGAGATCTCTTTCATCATGTCAAACAAAAAAGAAAACATCACATCTCATCGTCAATTCGAAATGTCCTGTATTTCAGCATGCTTCTGCCCAACAAGTTGCCAACGTGGCCTTTTCGGATTCTCCGGGACATCGGACTCTAGGTCTTCCTGAAAGCCCCAAAGCCCTTCATCGTCGATGTGGACGGTGGCAAGAAGGCACGGAAAACCGAGATCGCGCAGTTGGCCAAACTGAATCTGGTGAACTGAATGACATGACACCGTCCAGTTTGCCCAAACTGGATGGTGCCAGTGGACAGTTTGGAGACTACTGTAGGTGTCAAAGCTCAAATTGGATGGTCATACTACTAGGCCACTAGGCTCTGGAGATGGGTATGACTCAGTACCAGCCAAATTGGTTGGGTGCTTGGCATTCTGACAGGTTCAGCTCCATGTCTTCAGCATGTTGGAGGGCGACAGCGGAAACAAACCGGGCTTTCGCAAGCTTAAGGAGGCGGGGGTTCGCGGGATGAGCCGAATCACCTAGGCATGCAGTCACGCAACTTCAAAAAATCATATTTTAAAAAAAATGATTCTTACTCTTGGAGGTTCGGTTTGACATGGTTTGACTATCTGTGTTTTTGTTGATACAATCTGACTTTGCTCCACCGAGCCAAGTTTGCCTGGCAGATTTGTTGTGTATATTCAAGAGGTCTCCTTGCGGGCCCATGTTTGCTTCCATTGCAAGAAGTGATGTTCTGCAACAAGATCAAGGTCGTACAAACGACCGTCAATTAATGTCTCTTGACCCGGACCCTCGATGGACAAATCTTCCTGGGCTGGTTGAAACTCGAGGAGAGAGAGAGACCACAAAAAACTGTTAGAGTCAGAGATTTTACAAGTTGGTGCCAGGTATTGGGTACGCTTACCGTATCGTACCGTATGACGACTCAAACCTGGCAGTTCGACGAAGAAGTCCTCATTTTTACGCTCCACCAATGCTTTGCGAAACCTTTTGGGGGAGTCTGGTTCTAACAGGACCCCCTTTGAATGCAGTGATCAACAGCATACCTTTTTGGTGTCTCCGTGCCTTCACGAGCCTGACATTGGCACTTTCATACGTAAGAGCAGCAGGAGGATCTAAAAACCCAAACCATCCCAAACCTGTTACACAATTAAGTATATAGCTATAATATGCTATAATTAGTTAAATATATATATAGAGTATGCAACCAAGAATCTATAATTGGCAATATAGCCTTTACAACCAAACAAATCCCTTTGCGCGGCGTTTCACCCGATCACCAAGGTGATCGCCAAGCGCGCCGCCACGGGCTTGCCCGTGGTGCGTGCGGTGGTCGGTGGCGGCGACGGCACCGTGATGTGGGCCGACTCGGAGGCGGCGACGAGCTCGCACGGCTGGCGAGCTCGGGGGAAGGAAGCGCCAGGGAATTGATCATATGTTCCAAAGGAGATAAAGCTCTGGCTTTGACAAGTATAACAGTATTTTCAACAATGTATAAATTTCTGAACCAGGTGTTTGCCGGCCCAGAACCAGGTTGTGCGATTCCTGTTTTTGGGGTTGTGCAGTGGTTTGAGTGGGGCGTTTCATTTCAGAAATGGAGTTGGAAGCAAACTAGAACCTTTATGTTTGAGGCCCGTGAACCACTGCTGGCCAGGGCAGTGCTTCGGTGCTCAAAAAAGACCAGAATATGGAAGAGATCAAAGGACCCCTGGGAAGCCCGCCTGTTTCTGCAATGACATGCGCAAGCCCCTTTTTTTTCAACTGACCATATGACATTCACCAAGGTGTCAACCAGTAACAGAGCTTTGAGATCAGTGAAGTTGTGGACTTGTTCGTTAGCTGGACAGGCACCGGCTCTAGGGTGTAGAGAAATAGTTTTGTTACAGGTCGTGTAGATTTCCATGAACAGAAAATACGTTGACCATATTCCTTCCAACCAAAGATTATGTGTGTTGCTTTTCCAGTGTGTCACATCCACAAAAAGGATATACAATGCATAGTCTGAGAAGTATGTGTGTATGCACATAATTGCACATAACTTAACACATAAATGTTTAACTGCAAACAGTCGGATAGCTTGTGGCAGACAGCGAAACCCTTCAGAAGGTGTGATTTCAGGCGGTTCTTCCTTGTTTGTTTCTACTAACGATGTCCTCCAACCTAACTAATAGTAAAGTATATTGGACAGTTTCTTCTGTGTTTTTCTTTGTTTCTATTAGTGATGTCCTCCAACCTAATAGCAAACTATATATTGCATGTGTTCTTCCTGTTCTTGTTTCTTGTTTCGAATAGCAATGGTCTCCACCCTAATATAGCCTATAGCAAACTATATTGCACCTCTTCTTCCTAAAAGTAGTAACAAGTGCCACGCTAGTAGTAACAGGTGCCTTACTAGTAGTAACAAGAAGCTAGTAGTAACAAGTGCCACGCTAGTAGTAACAAGAAGCTAATACTCCCCAGCCTCTTCCGCCTCCAGGGGCAGAAGCATGGTATCGACACGCCCAAGCAGGTGGCGTAGGGGAGCTCAGGCTGAGCATGCTGAGCTGCGGTAGCTCGCTGCGAGAGGAAATGGAGGCGAGTCGGCCAGGGGTCTTTGAGTTGAAGGAGCAGTTGTTCTGTACTCCTTAACTACATCATGACTCATGATGGGAGCTCTGTATTTTTTGGGGTGAATGTTTGAAGAGGAGAAGTGGCCCACCAACCACTCTACTCATCCGGAACTTTCCCATAACTTTGGGGGGTAGGTAATTGCAAGAATGGACACAAAATAGTATGAAACACCCCAAATGGGTTTGGAGTCACTTCCCTCCAGACCTCTCCAGTTTTCGTCTGCCACTCCTCACCTCGGTCTTCCATGGGCCAAGGTGGGGCATCGTGCCCTTGGGCACTGGCAATGACTTTTCCCGAGTCGCTGGCTGGGGTGCTCCCTGCGATGACTTTCTGATGCGTGGCACACACGACCTGTGGGACCGTTTCATGGGCACCGTGCAATCGGGGCCAGGTGGAAACAATCCTGAGGGCGTGGATGCCAACGACTTCGAGCTGCTCAAAGACTTGGTCACCTGGCCATGTCGACTTTCAGTTTTGAACAGAGCAGAAGTGTCCAGTCACGGAACATGGAGAGATTGGGTATAGAACGGTATCGAACGTGTGCTAAAGTCCAGAGAATACATGGGATACATGAACAAGGAGCCTTCTTCTGCCAAATGGACATTGATTATTCAACAAGATTTTAAATACCAGATATACATTTACCATGATTCACTATTGTTCGGATGGGATGCAAGTGTGATGCCTTGGGTTTGCGTGTCCGCCAAGCTTGCAAATGGACTTCTTCGACCAAGACAACTACTTCATGATGAATAAAGGAACAGAGAAGGACCATTCTGCAGTATGGTGCATTGATGATGAACGTAGTTACTTGTTGCATCTTATTGCCATTTGTTTGCCAAGGAACACATTGGCACGTGTTGTCTCTTCAGTTTTAAGCCCACTACTAAAGGGCAACGATAGACCCAGCACCATTGCCGTGGAGGCTCCTCACATTTCGACTGAGGTGCGGCAGTGGGACCGAGCCAAGGTTCGACACCATGACGTTTGGGAGGCGCTACCGCTCAGTCAGGACGACCGCAGGAATATGTGGAGAAGAAGCGTTGTTATTCTTGACCTGGGTTTCTCGGGGCGCGAGTTTCTTGGAATGAAGTCGGGTCAGACCCAGAACGGGGCATATATACCAGCACCGTCCGTTCGGTCGGTATGTCCTGGTGACAAGAAATGTCTGGACACCACCTGTTAGGGCCGCGGAAACAGCCTGTTGGAGGGTCCTGATATATACACGACTGGTTGCTATGTTTCTATTAGGTCATGAAGTGTTTGGGGTTGCTACAGTTCACAGCTCCCAAGCTGCTGCCAGTGCCGGTGCTTCTGTTGCCAGCACTGCTATTGAAGGAAGACTTTGATGGGAGAGAAACACCCAATAAGATGGTGGTTTTGCATATTTCTCTATGTTGCGATTCATTTTTCAATCGTAGTAGCACTGTTCTCTTCTCGCTGCATATTTCTCCGGCTGCGACGCTTCAGAAGTGGTGGTGCCTCTTCCAGTTGCGCCGGGTTCTCCTTTGTCCACAGAAGATTGTTCGATCAATATGTCACTTCATCAATACATGCTCCGACCTTCGTAGCTCCGACACCTTCGTAGCTGGGAACAGAAAAAAGACGGGACACCGACCCGGGACCGTCTGACCGAGACCCGGACGTCGAAAAACGCCGTGACTCGCTCTTCGTGACTCGCTCCCCTCGATGCTTCGCCGGTGTCCCAGTGAAACAAAACAAGGTAAAACACCCCCTCGCCGGGGGTGATCCCGACTCCCCTCGCCGGACAAACAGTAAAACAAACAAGTTCGGCCTCCCCCCCTCCACCGAGTCTTCTTTCCCGGAAGTCACTCGGAATGTTGTCACGTGTTTTTTTGTTTTTTGGTGCCAGGTGTCGGTGAATCTTGACGAATCTGAAGGGAAGCTCTTCAAGATCGGCAAGACGCAGGTGTTTTTTCGTTTTTGGAGGTTGTTTGGGTAGGTGTGGATGCTTTGGATGCGTTGAGGTTTGGGCATGCTTTTTCGTGGGGGGGAGCCTGTTTCGCGTGTGGCGGGATGTCTTTTTGGAGGAGCGAGGAACAAAAAACTAATACATATACTTATTTTGATGCGGGCCCAATTGGGTCCAATGCTGTAGTTGGTTCCTTGGTTTTCGGTTTGCGTCATAGTTTCACCAGTTGTTTCTTTGTTTGGATATATGCAATTAAAGAACGCTTTCGGTGTTCCCCACCTGAAAGACACGGAGGGTTTCGGCAGAGTTTAGGAATTTTGGGCATATTGGGGCATTCCCACTTGTACTTCTATAGACAAGGGTTGATACTGCCATCCCCCAGAGCACAAGAAGGACTTTTTCCCCGAGAGTGGCACCACTAGAGAGGTGAGTGATGTAGCTTTTGACTATCGCTCCCACAATTCAGCCCTCACCCGCCTCTAAAACAAAATACCACTTGGGATGAGGCATTCATTGTTCTTTGTTTAATTGTTAATCCCATTGAAACAACTCAAAGCTATCTCACCGGGTTGGCCCGTGGAGTGGTTTTATTCCCCAATTGGTTGATCGTTAAGAAACAATCTTTGACGTTTCACCCACCTTTCTCCGAAGGGAAAGCTATATGGATGCCCAAAGCAATCAGATGACATTGATTGATCTTCATGTCATGGATACTTCGGACATGCCGGTTTCACGTCCAAGGTCAGGTCACATTTTGCTACAAACCTTCTTGCTTATAAGTATTCCCTCACCAGCTCTTTGAAGCATGCGTCGCCCGGCCTTCCAGCTGCCAGGTGGAAGAGGACCTCAATGTCACCAGCAAGACCTTCCACATGGTGAACTACTTCTCCATTGGTTGGAACCTCAAAGGGACTCGAAGAAGCGCTCAGCCTGCTGCGACCGTCAAGTCCTTCCGCGCCCGCTTCCGAGCGAGTGAACATGGCCGAAGAGGAACCAGTCAAAGGAGTGAACGCGGATGTTTTACATGCTTTTGGTGAGATCCATGTGCACTGGTGGGATACTTTAAACCAAATAGACATGTAAATCCATCTAAGTTCTACATGCAGACAAATCTCAAAGGAGTCCATCCCAGACACCTCTAGGTTCATAGAACAAAATAGGTAAGGGAAGTCGGCAAAACAGATCTGTAATTTGTGTGAAACGAATTGGCTCTGTGGTTCGGTGTATAGGTGTCCTTGTCTTGATATTCCCAGTGGATCTTCAGCCATTCCAAACTGCAGACCAAGGCATGTTGAATATGGTTGATTTATAGATATTATCTATATGTACATATATCTCAGTATATTTATCCTTTTTGTGCGTGTTTTTTGGAACCCAGTGGTGGTTGATCGCGAATCGGAATCTGATCGCCTCACTCTCAGGTCAAGAGTCTCAGGTGCGTCCCGCTGCTCTCAGCGTCCAGCTCGGCCGTTCGGATCGACCATTGTACACGCCGTTCCTACGCCAGAAGACGAGGAACATGGACCAATGAATCCGGTTTCGAAGGTTGAACCATGGTTAGAAACCATGTTAACAACTACAGCTTATATATATAGTGGTTTTGGGAGTCAATGTTAATGTGCGAGGGTATATAAGCTTAGTTGTCATCAATTAGGTGGAGTTCCCCCCGGGCATCCTGTTGTGTGAGAAGCGGTACTTACATATATAATAGAAGGGGCCACAGCTACAACTAGACGGGTTTCTCGAGGGACTTGACTTTACTCTATTACTACAGTATATTGGAGTGTCCAAAGTCAAAGCGTGGTTTGAGATGCTGCTACAAAATCCATTCATTCGGGGACATTCAGGCCACGATGCATGAAGCATGGTGCAAGGTTATGGCGTCAGGCAGAGGATTAAGGGTTGTGATGGGCAAGAGGGCCTTATGACTAATTAGCAACCATGAGAATGTCAGTAGTGGTTTCGCACGTAAAGGGGTTAAGTATAGAGTATGTCTCAGTTCAAACGTGTCGTTTTGTTGCAGGTAGGCATGCATTTCGACAAGCACCGAACCAAGAGCCAGACGTGCAACCTTTTCGTTTATGGTGCCTCAGATGCATTTGCGATGCCTTGCTGGACCAGTTAGACATGCTTAGAGCTGCTATTCAGCAAGTAATGCAACCAAAGGATCAATCAAGAGCTTGGGGCGATTGCTGATTCAAGAAACTAATCCCAAGAAGTTTGAATAGTACACAGTATAACATAGACCTCATTGTGCCTCCACCAACTGAAATGGTGGGCAATGATACCACGTCCCGCAAGGACACCGAGCCGGTACTTATCGAAGCAAGGATTGAACTTTGACCTTTCGTCCAAGGATTGAACTTTGACCTTTCGTCCAAGGTTCCTTTTTCTTATCTAAACGAGAAAGGACCAGAAAGTTGTCCACAAAAGGATGTGCCAATCCCCAGGAAAAGGAGTAAAAGTTGGGAAGATTGATTTCACAGATTGCCTGTCCAGTCGCTCTTGTGTTGCTTGCAGCTTGTGTGCCATCCTCCATTGAACGATGCCCTCAAATACCAATATAATACCGACCTCCAGACGAGCTGGGCTTGGCGCCTTCCCAGGTATGGCTGGCTGCTTGCAGGAAATGAGGCACACTCATGGCATGGGATGGCCATTGGTCGTGCTGCAATCAATAGAGTCGTTTTTCTAAGCACAAAGCATCCATTCCAACTGGAGTTCTCGCGGATACGGTGATTGCAGCGATGCTGGAACAATTGTATACAATGATGAATGTCCTGTGTTTGGATCAACTCCAAGTCCCGGTGTGGCGGGACAAAGACTGGCATTTGCTGGCATGCCCCACTGAGGAGCAGAAAGCACATCACCGTCGTGGAGGAAACTCATTGGGTCAGAAAAAGGACCTTACTAAATGTGCTTCTCCCCAGCAGGTCCTGGTCCAAGCTGTTTAGAAGAGATAGAGCCGGACAGAGACGCTAAGATGTTATCTTATAGATTCGTCTCACTCCGGACTTCTGAAATGTCTTATCTTGTCTCACCAATTGGGAAGCAGGAAGCATGTGAGACATGAAACGTGTTTTTCTTTCGATATTCGAAGGTGTTGGAGCGTCCAGCACATCGGCAACATTGTGTCCAACCTCTACCAGGGGAAGGACAAGAATGGGCCGCAGCCTCAGTGGAAAAACATGAGGATGCCTTGGCAGATGGGCCTGACTGGATGGTCTTGAATGTTAAGTTCTTCAATTTTTTATGCTGTTACATAGATGAATTTTGAAGAAGCTGATTTATTGCAGAGTGAACCGGACAGAATTTCTTCAGCTTTGCTTCCAGCCATCCAAGGACATTTTCCTTTTTGTTTGATCTTAAGATGTATCGGGGCAGCACTCAAAATCACACTCGACATATTACAAATCAGAATCCATTGACAGCCATCGGCAACCCCGGTTCTCCAAGTTCGAAGACAATCCGCCGATCTTCGACCAGGACATCCTGCGACGTCCGCACCCGGCTAAGGACACTGATCATGGATAGCGAGGGCGACCTCGGTGAGCCGCACGGCCTGGTTTCAACCGCGCTGGCACAGCGGGGCACAGTGGGGCCCGAGGTCAACAGGAGGTGGCTGCCCGGCTTCGGCTGGGCCCATGCTGAAGTTCAATGGAAGCATCACAAGGAGGCATTGCACGTCCTTGAGGATCGCATCAAGACCTTGTAGGATGGCAACAAAAATCTGCAAGATTCTCGTGCGACGACACTTCTTAAGAACATTCTTTTAACCAACCTACAACCACCTGGGGAATGTTGTTCAGATGTTGCATAAATTATGGGGTAGTTGCCGTTTTTGTAGTCCAGACAGCGAAAACGCGACTCCCGGCTCGGGTCTGGGTTGAAGAGGCTCGACCGTTAGGTCCTTTGAAGTGATGCAGTTTCGCTGGTTTCGGAGGTGGCAGCCAGGTGCCAGGAAGCATCCATGGCACATGGCAGGGGCAACGGGAGCTATATCCAAAGTAGTTCATGCTGGCTTTGCAACTTCCCAATCCCGCACAGGTTCTGGTCGTAGTGATACAGCAGATCGATACGATCATGGTATGTGCCAACTAGCAGGACAACAGCCTTATCATCATATCATGTCTTTCGATAAGGTGATGGGGAGGTCTGGAGTGGGTTTGGAGGGTCCAAGTACCTTCTGTGGTAGCTGCGAACAAAGCAGCTTCTTCTGCTGTCGACACCTTGGATACAGCACAGCACAATACAGCATATCACAGAATTGTCAGAGCTCTTTAGAGGCCAGGCGCCCTGTGTCCCATTTTGCAGGGCACTGTGGAGGCTGCAGGTATAGTAAGGCGGTAAGAGAGGTTCATGGATGCCATGACAGCACTGTATTTATTGGTGTGGTTTCAGGGGTCAATCTGGGCATAAATTCCGTGCGTGCCATGGCGGTGTATGGCACCAAGGCCACAGCTCATTGGAAATCCCGAGAGTTTGATGTTCTTGAACATCAGCTCCTACGCTGGTGGGAAGGCGCAGCATGTCGTTTCCGGCGCGCCAATTCGGACGCGGCTCGATCGGTGAGGGAAGCCCTCTTAATTCGGACTGATGCAGGACCTCGACTGAACCGGCAAAGCTTATGCTGGATCCAGGGTCTGATTTGTGTTTAGTATTTTTTCTGGACATACCCAGCGGATCGACTTACAAGTGAATTCCGGCGATAGAAGGGCTGAGCATCAACGTGTAAGCAAAGCTGAGGCACGCCAGGGGTGTTGGATGTTCACGGGATGTTCGTGGATGTTCAGTTTGTTGGGTCATGAACTATAGTTGGGTCGTTCAACAACGGCCGGTGCCAGATCCTGGTGGTTTGGTAGTGGCTGACTTGTCACGTCAAAGAGTTTACTGCGAGTGCCAACAGAACAGGTAACACGCACACAGTTTGGATCTTGTCATCAAACATTAACATCACCCTTCAGCATGAACAGACCCTTGTAGAAGAAACTCCCCCCGTGCCATCAGTTGAGTCCCTGGGTAGCCAGGCACATTTGTGGCAGCTTGTGGCTGGCTCAACTGGGTCTGGAAGGATGGCTTGGTTGAGGAGGGAACATGGCACTTGGTCCCACCTAGCACTAAGCCTAGCCATTTGGGCCGTTTGGGGTCATTTTGGCCGAGTGTTATCTTTTTACTTTACAGTCTGAAGTCTTCTGTAACTACAGAAACAACCCGAGATGTCATTTGGTTGGATGAATCGATGTTGGTGAAAGTCCAGATCAGGAAGACTGCAAGATAGGAGAGTGCAGACCAGCGAAATAAATAACAATCAACCGAGGTGTCCTTTGGTTTTAGAGGTTTCCCGACACACGAGACTTCGTTGGAGACACACCAACGGACATGCCTTTCAGCGGATATGGATGACATGCGACTAAACCACCCAATATCCCACTTGATGGAAGTAGATGAGGGATAGTCAGAGCAGTAGTCAAGGCCAACTTGCCTTCAGGGTTGATTCAGGTGGACATTGGGGGTCAAGGCCTTGACATAGGTGGCAATAAAGAGAACAGGAGTCCCTGTGTGGGTAGTTAGGTTGAACCGTACAAGGATTGCTGCTGCTCCAACAGCATAGCCGCAAACAAAGAGCTTGACACAATCTTTTGCCATCACCTTGGGATCCATTTATTGTATCCCCATGCTTATTTTCCATACCAAAAACATGGTTCCCTACATTATTATCTTTTTGAAGCGTGGACCTATGCCAGATATCCAGCTCCATCCTCAGCTGTTTGTGACCCCCTGGGGTGTGTGCTGCTGCCACGTCTAGCTCAGTGCCATGCCAGTGCACCACCTAAAGATTCTAAAGAATGGAGGCTCTACATGTGAGGGGAAAAGAAACTGAAGTGAAATATGATGCGTTCTCACGTGAAGAAATGGTAAGATTGTTTCAATTCAGCAGCTTCACTGAGGAGTGCGACATTGGTGTGGATCCACCCCCGGCGGAGACTTCAGTGAACGTCGTCCAGGACAGGTCAAAAGTCTGAGGAGCTGATGTCCGTTTCCTGAATTGTCAGGATGTTTCCCACGTGGTTAAACACATGCAACAAAAACGATCATGCTAATTCGTGTTAACATTGATTTGTTGCGATGGTGTTTGTCCAACAGCTTGTGTGATGCTCTCCATGCCCATTTCTGACAACGGGGGAAGAGCCATCCCAAAAAGGACGAAGGCCGTCGCCCTCCAGCCACGAGATTACGTCCAGTTCGCCAACACCGCCAAGAGCTATGCGCTCACGCCCATCCAAAGCCAACACCATTTGTTTGAGTCCTTGTGTTTGAGAACCACCGTGACCTTGTCAACAGGGATACTGAAGCATAGCCCGCGTGACCAGGAGGGGTCAAGAGCACATCACGGCTCATTGCAGGGAAGTATGACACCTGCGCCAACAAACTCGAGAAGTGCCGTTCACTGAACATGAACCACTGAACTGAACCTTCTGCTTTGGATTCCTGGCCATCAACGTGACCTCAATCAAAACACTTTTGCCTGAGCTGAAAAGTGCTTTCATGTCCCAGCAAATCCAGCAACACATTGAGAAGCCTTCCGCCTTTACTGGTCGGATTCATGGGGCAATTTCCTGGACCTGCGGAAGTTTGAAAGGTCCAAGCCAAACAGCAGTTTCTGAGAACTCTTTTGGAAACAGAAGTTGAACACCAGTACGACCAGTACTATCAAAAACGGACAGTTAAAATATTTGCTATAAACTCCCTGACTGTCCCTGACTGTACTAAAGTCCCTTTGGTTTTGGACTGAGGTGACTGGTCCGGTGTGCATGCCAAAAACATGAGACAAGGCAACACATCTCCGTACAGACTGCGCAAGGGCTTGGGCCTTTCCAACATCAGCACGGACTGGTCATTGAGTCATTGGTTGTTTTTGAGACACATCTGCTATGGCATAGCGGATGTGCACCATGGAAAGTCCATGCGGCACGTCACTATATTCAAGATATCAGACGATATCCTTTTTTGATTTGTGGACAAACCGACTCCTCTAAGAAGTGACCACCACCCAGGAAGAGAGGAGGAGGTCGTGAAAAATGCCCCGCCACGTGCCATCACGGTGCCGTCGCGGTGCCGTCGCGGTGAGGATCCCGGCGACGGAAAGCTGGAGGTGGTGACACTGCCTGGGACACCCAGTGATTCACACTGGTGAAATGCTGAGAGAGCCCATCCCCACAGAAGAGCTGAAGATTGAGAACATCAGTTTCAGGGGGCTGGATGATTTCAAACATATCAACAAGTCCCCCCTAAATATACCTGCGGTCGGGGAGCATGAACGTATGATCGATGGGAAGGGGAGAGCCTCCAGTGAACAACCAACAGGATCCAAAACTGGTTTGTGGGACCAAATGGATCCCTCTATTTATCCCCAAAGGGCCACGTCGATTTGCTGGTTGCCGGCGCCATGTTGGAGCTCAGCGAGACCACCGTTTGGGCTGAGGCCTTTGATTGCAAACATCGCCATGGACAAGCTTGTCCATCAGGCCATTTTGCTTGCGTCGATGCTCAAAGACATTGAAAGACCCAATATCAAAATCCTGATGTTGTTTTGTGTACGTTCTTTTTGGGTCTCCGCTTCAAACTCTTTGATTTCAATCCACAATGAGTGTGACAGTCAAACGTCTAAATATTGTGAGGCGGGCAGTTTATTTGAGAGCGGCGAAGAAGCGATCCAGTGCTACGTTTATTGCGGAGTCCTATCACTACGAACGGTTCTCCTGCCCTGCAAAAAGCCCAAGAGCATGAAGGACTTCATAATTAATGACTTAGTGTGTTTTATATTGGTCTTTAGGGCAAGCAAACCTTGGTGCAAGAAAGACTCGGGGAAGATAAGATATATAACTCTATATAATTAGTATAGTACTGTACATACCTTACTGGCACTGACATGTGAGAAAGAGAAGGTAGAACTCTCTGTCAGCGTTGGTTTGCATTGAGGAGCCAATAGTTCGCCAAACTCAGCACCATCACCCCAAATTCCCCCAAACTTCCCTGGTGAAGCATGCGAAGATGTGAGAAATCGGCTTCGCCATGCTTCGCCCCAGCTCGCTTGTCCTTCGCAAGGCCCGGAAGGTTTGCTCTGGCGGGCCCTACTTCCTTGAGTGACCTACGCAGAGCAACAGCTGCCGGCAGGGAGTGTCTCAAGCAGTTGTTCGGATGTGTTGGGTTTCTGGAATCCCTTTGCAAAATGTAATTGAATGATATTTGTAATTTGTAATCGGTTGAGCAGGAGCGATTGTCAGCCCCTGAGGCAAAACTCGTATTTGCACACATTGTAATATATAATTGTTCGGAAATGATACATGATACAGTTGTTTTACATTTGTGTTATTTTGTGTTGCGTTTCTTGGAAATCCACTGAGTATTTCGTATCCACTGTTCTCCTTGCGAAAGCACTTCCTTCAACCTTCCGCTGTGCTTGCTTGGATGGTCGAGCGACCTCGACGTCCGCATCACTGTCCTGCGACGTCCACAGCACTCGGGTCGTTCGTGATGGATCAATTGATCGATCCTTGGCCTCGTGTGGGAACTGGTGTGTTTTTGGACTGCGACCACAGTGGTTTTGGTGCACAGCAAGATCGAAGCAGGAAGATAGCAACTGCAAGAGCTGCTATTAAGATGGCTTCGCTCATCTTGTGCCTTTGTGCTCAAGTGCCTTGCTTTGTGTGTACTAGAGGCAAGCTCATCGTGTGCATGCAAGTTTGCTGGTCCTTGTGGCTACAGCAGATGGCCCAGCTATCAACCTTTGGCCATTTTGCCTCAGGTATTATAAATATAAGTTCTTATTACAATTTATTCGAGGCTTCGCGCTTTTCTTTGATAATTTTTGGACGGGAGACATCTAGATTCTAGACCAGTTTGCAGGAGGCCTGCTGGCTTTTCCATGATCTACAGGGCTGAGACATGTGCTGAGACATGCGGTTCATAAGATAACAGAGGCAGGTCTTGAATTTCTGAACGCTCACTGCAGCAGATGCATCAGCAGGTCTCCTAGTTACACGCCTCCTAGCAATCCTTCATGCTCGGCCTGACGTCATTGGGCCCCTGGGGCACCTGACGATCCGGAGTGCAACCATTCGGAAGGCCAGGACGGAACGAGCCACAAGGGAGTCTCGAAACGAGCCGTGAGCGTGGCTGACAGTTTGTCACGAGGATTCTTGAACGTCAGACCACGATGGTTTTGGATCTCAGCCTTGGGGCCTTGATGACACTCCGTGGAAGGCATATGACACTCCGTCCACTCCCTTCCTCGTTGAGCTGATGGATCCCCTTTCCCCCTCGCACCTGCCTTTGCCAAGACGAGGGTGCCAATGCTTGGGAGCAATGTAGAGTCCACATCCAATTTCACATGATGGAATAGTCACTTAGCATTCTTCCGCGGACACTCATCACCCTGCCACAAAGTAGGGTGGGACACTGGGCTGGGGTCAGCAATCTCCTCGTCTTCAGGTACTTTCAGAATGATGACGATGTCCACTGCTTTTTCGAGGCGCGAGGACTTGCATGGCTTGCCAATCAGCCACAGCATGCCACGTGGCAAGGGTGAAGAGATGGGAACTACTGTTCTCCACTTGTTTCTTTTTGATTCCAATGTCTTCCTCTTTGGTTTGATCACGGTTTATGAACATGTCCCGCCTGCTCCTTGTGCCTGTTGGGGAAGTGCTTTCAGTTGTCATTGATGCTCAGCTCTTTTTCCCGGCATGACCGGAAGCAGTGAAGCAAGACGACTTTAGGCATTGATCAGGGGTGCCGTGCAAAAACTAGTTTGCAGTAACCGCTCGCATTCTGGTTACAGACAATGGATGTTCAAGAATTGTCCAGATCTTCGTGAGCAGTGCAGTGTTAATATGCAGTGATTGTGTGGGAAGTGTACTGTCCCTTGACTGAAGTGGAGCCCAACACTATGTTTGTTCTTTCGTTTTGCTCCATGTTTATTTTAGGAGGGCAAACAACTGTAGAGGCTTCGAACAGTTTGTTTGGATCCTGTCGTGTTCAACGCACGTATAGCGTATAGGAGTCTGAGTTATGCGATGTTATGAGGTTGTTTGGTTTCAACAAGGCAGGTCCCGAAAGGGTGTCAGAATTGCGTTACAACCTGAGAACGAGAAAAGTGAACAAAGGACAACGTGTGATGTTCAGTCATTCCTTTGGAAGGCAGAACCTTAGTCATTCTTCTTATTCTTGTTGCTTGCTCTTTGAGGGTGCATCAAACCATGCCCAGAAGGTTTCACTTGTGAGCACCTGTCCACTGTCAAATCAGCAGAATATGTAATTTTGCAAAGTCCGACAAAGGGGTACGATTATGTACAGTGTAGATAAAAACAAACACCTTTTATGGGCTACTGATTTGATAGTGGAGCAGTAATCACTCCCACATCTAATGCTTCGAGCCAAGTAAAGATGTATGATAATTAATTTGGAATTAGCACGTCAAGATTGCATCCTGTGTAGGAACGGGGACGGGAGCATCTTCAAAGAGTGGTGTCAGTGGTGTTTTTGACAATGTGCTCACAGGGGACCAAGACACGTTGAATTTGGCTGGTTGATGAAAAAATAGAAAGATATCAACAGATTTTGTTTTTGGAGGAGTACATGTCTGGAACCACCTACTACTTGTTCAGCAATCCGCTGGTCACGATCCTACTCATATTCCGCATCGGATTCGGAGCGAGTTCTGGCCAGGTAGACGGAGAGTTTTACCACGCAGTGAACCCTGAGAGCACCTCTGTGTACTTGTACAAGAAGCTGCAGGTTGGGTGCCGCCCCATCTCCGCAAAGTGTGTGGGAAGGTGTGTGGGAAGTTCAACATAGTTCAACCCAACGAAGGGGCGGGATCGTTTGGGGTGGGCCTGGGGGATGTTTAACCAAACATGGCTTAAAGGTGGCTAAGCTGTGGGCTTTGCATAAGCGGCAAAGTGCTGTTCCGTGGTTTTGATTCTCTCCCTATAGTCAGAAGATTCCGGAGCATCCCGAGGGGGAACCCATCCGCAGCTTGAGAGTCAGGAACTTGCAGAACGCCTCTCGATGTGGGCAGTCACTCAACATTTGATATCTCCTACGTGTCGGTCGCCAATCAGGTCAAGGAGTACTTCAAAAATTCACAAGGGATCCGGGCTCGAGCCTTAAGGCCCATAACGTTGATCAGCACGATGGAAGTGCAGCTGATGGATGAGGGGAATGCTGTGGCCTTCGTTTGGAGCGCTTGGCGCTGTCCACCTTGGTTGACCGCGCCTTGGTTGACCGCTCCCGACTTGAAGCTCTTCATCACGTGTTCATCACGGGCAAGATGGTGTGTCCAGCACTTCGCAGGCGGTGCAAGGCAGTTTATTTCCCGTGTGTCCAGCTTCACTGCAGATGAGAGTGAGTCACGCAGATGTGGACTGAGAAGCCAGGGGCAGAGCGGGAGGGTCGGGAAGATGATTGCGGCCTGGCACCTCCAAAAGATTTGCATGATTTGCTGGGCACAAACCATGGGCGCCCCGAAATGGCCGTGGAGCTTTTTGTAGCTGATGAGCTGGGTTCGTTTTTCGGACACTATCCGCGCCCCTGGGTGGTACGGAGAACCACTGTACTGCCAAGGAGGTTTAGTCCCCTCAAACTTCAATGCAAACAAAAGGGTTTCGGCATGTTTGGGCGTCATCAGTGAGGAATTCCGTAGAAGGGCCTGTCTCAGGAATTCACGCCGGACGAAGGAGTGAGAGTGATTTGTGGCAAATACATTGGGAATGGGAAAACAAACAGAGCATGTTCATAAGGAGCAATTCAGAGAATCCAGCTTCCCCGCGTCTTAGAACATCTCACCGGTGAATCGTCCATTGGAACTGAAACCGGTGCGTGCCGCAATGTCGCCGGGCGCGTGCCTTTTCCGGTGGGTCGCTTCACATGGGGAGGATCCAACGTGCTTAAAGCAATGGCCCTGCCTCTCAATTTCAAAGTTTCATTGTGGGTGTGTTGTTTGGGCATTGGTTCTTCTCCATTCCTTATATATTCTTATATTATCTTAGCGTGTGAAAAACAGACTTGTGTTGGAGGCGTTGCCCAAAAGAGTGCAACAACCATTTGTGCCACAACTTTGCTTTTGCTTTGATGTGTGTAGCCATGACCAGAATCGAAACAACAAATCCAGGGTTTCGGGGATTGTGTTGGCTCCGCCAACGCTATGCTGCTGTGTGTAGGTGCTTCAGAGAGTGCCTACCGGCGACACCTCTGACGAGGTTTGAGCGAGCTTCACGCCCGGTGGTCGGGTTCGGGGTTTCGGGGCATTTTTGGGCCCAGAGCTCAGGTGCTTTGGTCCAGACCTGGGACACCGTTAATGATAACACTGTTTTTGTTTGGGAAGGGGGGAGTCAACTGGTGGCAGTTCCAGAGTGAGAAACAGGACTGACAGAACCAAGAGTTTGTCTCGGAGAATAGAGCTGCATTTCAATAAACCAGACAACAAATCTGAAAGGGTGTCCAAATAAACCCTTTTTTAGAAACAAAGAAGAAATAACAGCAAACAAAAAATTGAACCAACATTTTGGTTTTTGTTTCGGGAAGTGGTTTGAAAAATACCCCAAATAATGCACCGGCATAAAGGTTTCCTCTACAACTCGACTGCACAAACAGTTCAGTTGATCATCAATACTACTGTGAAGATACTAGAACTTTGCATAAATAATATCGATAAACATTGGAACTCTTATCAACACAAACAATCATCTACTGAACTTGCACTTTGCGTTTGGATACACTTGCAAATCTTTTGATCCCGACGTTCCGCCACAAACGGCAGGACTGGTTTGATATCCCTGAAGTCACTTGCTGATGCTCTGACTCCAATGAAAAGGGCCGACCAGCTTGGAAGAGTCTGCGCGGCCATCAAGGGGTTCCATTGAACACCTCAGTTATAGTCAGTGCCACTAGAAATTCCAGCAAGTCTTTGCAACCCTCCAGGTTGAGGATTCTGCCGAGTGTATGCAGGTTCCTTAACTGACTTTGTTGTGGTGTGTGACGGTATGTGGTGTCCACGAACAGAAGACGATTCAGAAACTAGCTCCGATTCAGAACCTTGCGATTCTGAAACTACAGAGTGTCCCGATTCAGAAACTCACCCGATTCAGAAACTTGTCGATTCAGAAACTACAGGGTGTCCCGATTCAGAAACTCCCTCGATTCAGAAACTGGCCGATTCAGAAACTATCCGATTCAGAAACTGGCAGGTGGGGGGTGGGGATCTAATGACATGTTTGTGTGGATGTAGCGTGGACATCTTCGTATTTCAGAGACCCGATTCAGAAACTATCCGATTCAGACCCGTTCTAGTTTCCGAATCCAATATTCCGAGTCCGCGCCTTGCCTAGTTTCCGAATCCGTGGCCACCTTAGTTTCCGAATCCACAGTTCTAGTTTCCGAATCCGCCGTTGACCTGGTGCCCACTTTACATGACCGCACTGGAGACAAAGGTTGGTAGCAACATGTCACCATGGCCATCGACTGGTCATGTATTGTCCCGCTTATCCACTCATTGAGGCATTGTGTTGTTTAATCTCCATCCATTTTGTGAGATATAGGTTGCAGAGAAGGTTTGTATAAATTTGCTCTTGTTGTTGTGACTTTGAGCAATACATATAGACTGGCACAATTGAGGAGATGACTTTGATTCTTGAGAATACCCCCCACATCATGGCTAAATATAACAGACAATAACAACCATTCAGTTCCAACCTGAGTATTGTTTTCTGTTGATTCGCCTCAGCTTCAGTTCCTTCTCTTGCTACAAAGAAATCACCATGGCCTCAAGTTCCATGAATCTCTCTGGCAGGCGCTCCATTGGTCAATAAAGAGCGTTTAAATGTGTGGGTGATCCACAGCACAAATGCAATCGGTCCACGTTCTCTGAGACCCAAAAAAGAACAAATGCGCGTCAGGTAACGTGAGCGGTGCCATGTTCGACATGCCATGATTGGAAGCGCTTGGATTCTTTTGACCATCTCATGTGAGATGGATATCCCTTCGTCCCATGGGGGTGTTCAGTAGCGGAGCCTTGAGAACTGGCTGAGAGACTGCCCGTTTTCCTGCGGTCCCTTCATGTACACGACTGGCAGTCCATCGCTCCCTTGAGATGTACCATGAGGCCTCCACTTTGTTTTTTGTCCTAAATACGATGTACTGCGCCACTGCGGATGCTGTACCCAAGCGATGGGTGGAGCACCATGGAACACTTGGTGCTCGGCCATGGTGCATGACCTTGTACCACTACATCCAATCGCAAAAAAAGGTATGAACAGGTGTAGTTACTTTTTGGAGCGTCGTTGCCAACAGATTGGTCCTGGTGATCCCTGTTCCGTCCTCACGGCCGTTTGACGTTGAACAAGTGGCGTCATGGTGATCACTTTTGTGCCCTTTGGATGGGTGTTTGCAACCACAGTTAGTGAATTCGGTACCGGCTGTGGTTGCAACGGGGTCACTACATACCTACTGCTGAAGGGTTCAATATTCCTCGTCCTATTGCAGTGTTTTCGTTGTTCTAACTTCGTCTCGTCCGCCGTGCGGGTGGAGCACGGGTCTTGGGTTTGCCGGTGTGGTGGATCCATTGCGGCAAATTCTGTCATGTTGGCACCAATGTTGACTGTTGACTAATTAATTGAATTTGGACCCTGATGAATGCCTCAGAGGCTGGATACTTAAAAACAATAACCATAAAAAACCTCTATACAGGAGCTGGAACAGGAGCTAGTGTCAAGACAGCAAGACCATTTTCTACCACGGTATTGTGATCGGTCGGTGTTGACAAGTTCCTTGTTGTTATATAATTGGGATGGGTTGTTTGGGGTCCTCACATTCCATCACGATTTCGAGCTAAATCGTGTCAGCTGCCTGTATAAAACCATTTGATATAGGTCGTCTCCAGCCATCGTGCTACGTGCTGTGTCAACATAATCTCAAAGGTCCACGATTGAGACATATTGAGACTACTCAAGGGACGTGATGGTTGCCAGAGATGTCTCTTGTCAATGCTTGAGAATTTTCTTCATGACCCTCTGCGGCAGGGCAAGCTTCACAAGCTTCAAATTGAGCATGCGGGATAGCAAGAAGCTACTAGGAACAAGTGCATCGCTAGTAGTAACAAGTGCCTTACTAGTAGTAACAAGGACGCAGTCATAGTAGGTAGTCATCCGACTGCTCCGCATGTAGGAGCACATATATCACTCATCAGGGAACATGTCGTGAAATGAACGATATGTTCCTTTTGAATTGAAGGACCCATCGGAAGAGTTTGGTATTTGTTGGAGGGGTCCTAAGTGGTTTTGCTTTATTGGCCTTTGGCAGATCGCTTTCAGGAGCTCGTCAGATCGATGTCATTCTTTCAGCCAAAATACAGCTAGGAAAACTCCATGTGTGTGTGTGTGTTTTAATCACTTGTCACCTACATGCATGTAATGATGTTTCTTTCAGGGTCTCGACTTTTTTGGTGAGACCCTCTCTCATTTCGGTTGTTGTTATTAGACGATATTGGATACCTTGACGTCTCACCGGAAAGAACCTCAGATTTTAGGGCCCAGAAGCAAATCCGAAAGCCGAAGCCGCCTGGACGGCATCCCCAACAAAATTGGACGGCTGGACCGAAGAAACACGGCTGGAAGGCATTTCTGTTAACACAAATATGGAGAGTTAGTTTAGCTGTTAACACAAGACCTGAACGCATGACAACGCCGTCCCGCGGGCTCGAGCGAGCCACACGACGAAATGCGAAGCGACGTGTGAAGCGGGCGGCGAGCCGGGCGCTTCAGTCGTCTCCACATTATGGGCAAGATCCTTGGGTTCATGTGTTGTATTCTCCCAAGCTAACGAAGCTTCATCAAGCTCATCTCCCTGGTGGCCTCTTTGGGTTCAAACACGACGGATTTCCTACTTGGGACCATTTTCTGAGCCGTTCAATGGGGCTAGGTGGTCCATAGATGTTGGCCCCCAACATACCCCAACCACACTTTCACAAATCCAAGATTGATGCACATTGACTTGTGGCGAGACCCCAGAAACTAGCATGAGTCAGCTGAGGGGCTGAACAGCTCAAACTGAGGTACCTTGACACCTGAAGTGTATTGTCTTGCCTAAAGGGGAGAACATGGGACAACCCTGAAACAATGGGAGAGCGGTGCATGCGATGGCTGGTGGCTCAAGCCGCTCAGCCTCTTGCAGCCTCTCCTTGGCGCGGTTTGTTCACTCAACCTTGGAGAGATCCCTTGACGGCTCAGCGCACGCCACGTCGACGGAAAAATAAATGCATAGAACATGTGCAAAAATGCGACTAGGCCCTCATCGTAGCGGCGGCATTTGTGAACTTTGACTTCCAAATTCTAAATATTATGGTGACATGCTGTAGTTAAACAATACTGACAAGCAGGGTCGGTAGTAGACTAGACTCAGCCTCGTGATTGTTCAGAAATGTCGCTGGCATGCTGTCTCGATTGTTTTGCAGCCAAAGACAAAGCATAGCAACCAGCCTGCAATTGGCAGCCGCAGG